AGCGATGTTTTAACATCGACTTCCCTGCCAGCCACGGCTCACCACTTTCCCCTAAAATTCAAACGATTTACAAACACATTTGGGGTGTTCACAGTTCGTTCCAAATTGTGTCTGAAAATGTAGACGTTTACATTTTGAGACATCTATAGCATCAAACTGTGAGCTGCCCTTTCTAGCAGTCGTCGCAAAATCGTTTCAAAATTTTGCTGGTGTTGCCAGACATTTCTTCTTTGCGTGCATTTTTTATATGTCGCCTTTCGATTATGTTTCTGAAAATTTTTAATTATTTAACTCAATTACCGATTCCTAATATTTGTTATTTCTTTTCCTTGATTTGTTTCTTTTGATCAGAAATTGCGCTCAAAATAAATGCAGATACAGAAAACGTGCCCAATAAATAAAAAAATTTGATTAGNATGTAGCTCTATGCGATAAGAATTCGTACTCTAATAAGAATTCTATGCGTTAGAGCGAGCAAGTTAGAAACATCGGAGTTTTGATGACAGTATACATACTGTGAAGAAATGTCACTTTACGAAAATTTTGAAGGTAATAATACGTATTTAACAATTTTATTTAATTATAATATAATTTCTTCTTTTAGATTGCAAAACAGCAGCTACTTAGTCACATTCTTAAGGTATGTATTGAGACTTTTTATATGTTTAAGGAGCACCTTCAAAGTGCAAGTCCAACTTGTCAAATTTTGCAAAGTTGTAAGAAAACTTAATTTTTCTGAACCATCATAAATGATTTGCGATTGTTAATATATATCAAAAGAAAGGTAAATCGATTACCTTTCTTTTGATTATAATATTGTTAAAATCGCTTAACTTTTTTATAGAAGTTTTGCAACTTTTGAAAACGTCTATATATAAGTCGAAAAAACGCAATCAAATTTTGTAGTTGTAATGAAACTGAATTTTTGTTAACCTGTATAAATGATTTGCAACTTTTAATATATATCAAAAGAAATATAAATCGATTACCTTTCTTTTGATTATAACATTATTAAAATCGCTTAACTTTTATATAAAAATTTTCCAACTTTTTAAACATCTATGTGCAAATGAGTAATACTAATAATAAGAAATTAAGCCAGCGCATATGTATGTATGTAAAAATATTTATTTATTTATTTATTTATCTTTATATTTTATAAATAAATTTATAAAATATATGCACGGGGGCTGGGCTACGAGGCCATGTTGCTCCCGAGTTGTTGTGCTCTTCTTAAAGTTATACTTCGTATAGGAGGTTGTGTTTTTTTAAGGCTTCGTTGATGAACTTTATGGTGTTTTCATTACTGCAGTCGAGTGTTTGTTCGAGGTTAGCGTGACTTCCTGAGATGGCGCAATCCTTGAGAATGTGTTCAACAGTTAGGGTCGTCCCACATTGGGTGCATTCTGGTGATCTGCCGCCGCTAAAATGGTGCCTGGTACTGAAGTTAGTTACACCGACTCTCATTCGTGCTATTTTAATACAGTCGTCCCTAGTGAAGTTTTCGTTATAGTGTGGTCTTTTAAGTTGTGCGTTGTGTGTTTTTAAAAAAGTGCTTGATGTCTGCCATAGAGTATTTGTTATGTTTGCAGCTTCTACTCTGTGGAAATTTTTAATGATTGCGCTTAAACATTCCATTATAAGAGGCATTTTTATAGCTTCCTTGGCTGCTTCGCCCGCTAATTCATTACCAACTATACCGACGTGTGCTGGGATCCATAGGATCGTTATGCGCGAATTGAGTGTGACTCCGTCTAGAAGGAATCTGCGTGATTCACCGTCGTGTTGTAGTGATTTCACCACGCTAAGGCTATCCGAGCAAATAAGTGCATGTTTCTTTTTGCTCGATGCATGACGAACCGCAAATTGTATAGCTGCCAATTCTGCATTGAAAATGCCGGCGTGAGGTGTTAGAAGAGATTGCCGCACTTTCATATAGGAGTATCCGTTGGCTTGTTGTTCTATGACCACATAAGCTGCTGTACCATTTAGGAAAGACCCATCCGTAAAATAGGTGGCCTCAACTGGTATTTTGCTTTTATACTCCAAAAAATTTTTTTTTAAGAATTCAGGACACGTATTGTTTTTATCATGTGAACTAATCGTAGTATCCATCGTTATGTAAGTGCTTGTTGGAATGTTGTTTGTTGGTTTGTTTGGTATTGGAGAGTTAATATTGGTCAGATATATCAGAATGTGTTGAATGCTTGAAGCGTACGTGTTACTTTTGATGATTCTCTTGTAAGTATTTATATGATACCAGAAAGTGTCGTGTAGTGCGTGTGAAGGTGTTGTTATAGATTTAGCTGCTAAATTTACCAAACTGTTTAGCAGCAGAGACTCAAAATCTTTGTATTGAGCTTCAACGACGAGAGCATCCTTCGGTGTTGGTGTTAGAAGTCCGGATGCCGTTCTTTAAAATTTATTTAAGGCTACATCTATTTTTTTAATATTCATTTTTGAGGTCCATTCATAGAGCGTTATGCAGTGCCGCAAAACTCCTTCTGTGAGCGAACGACATATTGAGAGTGCAGTTTCAATATGCGGACCTTTTTTCCTTGTGCAAATGACTTTGAGCAAATTATTAACCTTGTCTAAATTACTTGTAATTTTTTTCGTGTGTTCATTCCATCGTAAGTTTCTGGTGAATGTCACTCCTAGTATTCTCATCGTTGTTTTAAAGTTTATATCTACACTCCGAATCGTGGTTCTAGTAAAATCGCAATTTCGCTTCTTGCAGATGTGAAGAGCTTCTATTTTGTCACCAGGTATAACTGCGCCTGTATTTGTTGCCCATTGGTGTATTTTTGCGTCGAGGATATTTAAGCTTCTGCTCACTTCCTCTGCTGTTCCAGAGGCCAGGGCAAAGATATTATCCGCGAAAATACCCATATAATCTATACCGGATTGGTTTACTAACAATTTGGAGAGTGTGTTTGTGTAAATATTAAATAACAGGACCGATAGAGGGGAACCTTGAGGTATCCCATTGTCAATAGTGTGAGTATGCGACAGAAAACCTTCAACTTTAACTGTAACCCTTCTATGTGAGAGAAAGGAGAGCACAAAATTTAGCAACATTTTTGGGGCACCCCACGCATGAAGCTCTTGAATTATTTGCGAGGATATGACCCTATCGAATGCTTTTTCTAAGTCCTCGGAGATGACAACACAGTGTTTNTTAAAATTTATTTAAGGCTACATCTATTTTTTTAATATTCATTTTTGAGGTCCATCCATAGAGCGTTATGCAGTGCCGCAAAACTCCTTCTGTGAGCGAACGACATATTGAGAGTGCAGTTTCAATATGCGGACCTTTTTTCCTTGTGCAAATGACTTTGAGCAAATTATTAACCTTGTCTAAATTACTTGTAATTTTTTTCGTGTGTTCATTCCATCGTAAGTTTCTGGTGAATGTCACTCCTAGTATTCTCATCGTTGTTTTAAAGTTTATATCTACACTCCGAATCGTGGTTCTAGTAAAATCGCAATTTCGCTTCTTGCAGATGTGAAGAGCTTCTATTTTGTCACCAGGTATAACTGCGCCTGTATTTGTTGCCCATTGGTGTATTTTTGCGTCGAGGATATTTAAGCTTCTGCTCACTTCCTCTGCTGTTCCAGAGGCCAGGGCAAAGATATTATCCGCGAAAATACCCATATAATCTATACCGGATTGGTTTACTAACAATTTGGAGAGTGTGTTTGTGTAAATATTAAATAACAGGACCGATAGAGGGGAACCTTGAGGTATCCCATTGTCAATAGTGTGAGTATGCGACAGAAAACCTTCAACTTTAACTGTAACCCTTCTATGTGAGAGAAAGGAGAGCACAAAATTTAGCAACATTTTTGGGGCACCCCACGCATGAAGCTCTTGAATTATTTGCGAGGAAATGACCCTATCGAATGCTTTTTCTAAGTCCTCGGAGATGACAACACAGTGTTTGTTATTTTGTAGATTTGCTTTGATCTTATTTTCTGTACTCCGTGGTCGGGTATATAAGCATATTTCCATAGTCTTTTCGAAAATAGCTTTTCTAGAATTTTAGACAGAACTGGTAACAGGGATATGGGGCGATAACCTTCGCTACTATTTTGATTCCCTCCAGGTTTTGGTATTGGCGCTCGTATGGCATGTTTCCAGTCATGAGGGTATACTCCTGTTCTAAAAATTTGACTGTATAACTGACACAAACGATTTTTAAGGGAAGGTGAAGCCTTTTTGACCATCCTATAGGTGATTTTGTCATGACCGGGCGTGGTGCCTTTGAGGCCTTTTAGAGTTATATTTAATTCTATAAGCGTTACTTCTTCTAGTATGTAGTTGTTTACGTTGTTACCTTCTTACATTTGGTTGATGTTTATTTGCTTTCTCTTAACTAGTTCAGGACTGAATTGGCTATTTGATCCTATCGAACTCCATACAGTGGCAAAGTTGTTGGCTATTTGCTGTGGGTGGTTGATTACTTTATTATTCACAAAAATTGGTGGAAAATTTGGTGTTTTATGGGATTTAATGGTTTTCACTTTTCTCCATAAGCTTTTTGTGTCGATAGTTGGGTTTAATGAATTAACGAATCGCTTCCAGGTATCTTGTTTTGCTTGTTTGCATGCCCTCCTTACTTGTGCACATGCCTTTTTATAGCTTAAAACTCGTGTGAAAGTACCTCTCTCTTTTAGCTTTTTCCAGGCTTTGTTGTTTAGGCTTATCAACCTGCTTATTTCGCTATTGAACCAAATCGGGGAGTTTATTTCTTTTGGTGGTTTGCTAGTTGGCATGGATTCGTTAGCTGATTTTCGTATAATTCTTTTGATTTGTGCGGTTTCTTTGTTAATGTTGCTTGATTGAACAAATTGCCTTTGAAGCTGCTCTGTTTTGTCTTTAAAGAGTTCTCAGTTGGCTTTGTGTTCTTTGAATTTCCCAATGAACTTTTTCGGTATATTCGAAATCTCTGTGTGCATGAGTATAGGAAAGTGGTCGAACATAATTGATGTTAAGCAATTCCATGTCAACGCAGCTGCTAGCTCAGAACTGGCCATGGACACATCCACAGGCGTGAGAGTGTTTCTAGTGTTTAGAAGAGTCGGTGAACCATCATTTATTATTGTTAAATGACGATCATGTGCGAACTGCTCCCATCGCAATCTACTGCTAGAGTTGTATTGGGATCCCCACAAAGTATGTTGGGCATTGAGGTCACCCCCAATAAGGTGGTGGCTTGTACCCGTAAAGGGTATATCATCTAGTAGTTGCGATGTTAGGCGTATGTTTGTTTCTTTATAGATGTTTGTAATGTGTACGTCTTTCATTCCGTGTATTGTTAGTGTTTGATGAAGTAAATCGTTGTTGGATGTTCGGTGGTTAGAAACATTAATTGTATTTTTAACAAGGATTGCAATTCCAGCTTTAGCATATGTAAAGCTTTTATTGTGGTGAAAAACTTTATAATTAGGAAGGTGTAGGAAGTTTATATTTTTGTTCGTTATGTGTGTCTCTTGGAGTAGTATAATTTCAGGCTTATGTTTTGCTACTAGATATTCTAACGCGTATTTGTTGTTTGTGAAACCTTGTATGTTCCACTGCAGTATTGAAAAGTTTATGCCAATGGTCATTTATTAAGCGAAGTGTCTAGTCTTAAGTGTGTTGTTCATTTTCTAAAGCTTGTAGCGTTCTTTTGTATGTATTTGGCGAAATGAGGACATTTAAATGTGGGTATTTTTTGTATATATCTGCGCAAGGCGACATTTCCATGTCACAGCTTTGGGTGTGTGTGTTATTTTTTTCGTTGCTCTTTGTTCTAGGTGGGCTTGAGCTGCTTTTCGATGCTGTTGTTGATGTGCTTTGATTTGATTGGTCTAGTGTTGTTGTAAGTTGAGGTCCATAGTTGGAGTTAGAAGTATTCTTTTGAATGTTATTTGAAGGTGGTTTAGTTTTGTTTTGAATTTCATTGTTGCTTTTGAGTGATCTTGTTTTATCTTGATTTTGAATGTTGTTTGAAGGTTGGGTAATATGTGAAGAAATATGATTGCTTTTTTCGATCTGTGTTTGTTCGACTGCTGTGGTTTGGTCGTTTCTTGCAGTTTGTGCGTATGAAGGCTTGCTTGTTTGCCTATTCCTAGGTTCAATTTGGTATGCTGTGGGATTGCTGTTGTACACTTTCCAGGCTTCACGAACAGTACACCGGCGTTCAGCTTTAATTTTGTTTACGGATTTGTGCTTTAGGAAGCTGGGACAAGTTGGGTCTTCGGAAGTGTGCGTGTTGACATTGCAATTTGCGCAGAAAATACGTGAGCAAATTTCATGCGGAGGAGGAAAGGCACATTGTTTGCATAGTTGTATATTTTTACAATTGTTTTTCGTATGCCCAAGTTTTTGGCAATTTCTGCACCTCATCGGGTTGGGGATATATCCCTGGACTGTGACTCTTTCCCATCCTAAATTGATCTTTTCTGGCCTACGAATAAGATTGAAGGTGACAATCGCTGCTCCCGTTGGTGTTGCTACGTCATTAGTTAGTTTCATTATTTTCCTAATTTCGATAACTTTCTGGCACGCTAATCCTTCCATTAATTCGTCTTCAGAAAGTTTTATTATATTTCTAGAAAATATGCGACCCTGTGTTGAGTTTAGGTATTTGTGCGATGTAATTTTGACGGGTACTATATCAACATGAGTGGCTTTGAGAAATTTTTCCGCTGCTTTTAGGTTTCGGGTTTTTATGAGCAAGTCGCCTGATTTAAGCTCAGTAACTTCAGTGTACTCTGTACTTATGTGTTTAAGGCCCTTTTCTATCTGAAAAACATTGTAAGATGACAAAGGTCGAACTTCTTCGCCGTTTTTTGATGCAATTGCAGTTGCTATTAGATAGCGCGGTATGTGGTCATCATTTTGTTTGATTTCAGGTAATGGTGTAAAATCGTCGTTCCTCATTCGTTTGCAGTGGTTGGTTTGAGAAGAAAGGTTGACATCTGGATCAAGGCTTTTAAACCTATTCTTAAAGGGGGGGTCAACCCCGTTCATAATTGTTTTTTTTTATATATATATATATAAGTTTTGCACTGTCACTTTAGAAAAGGAAGTGGTAAAAAGTGTAAATTTTTGTTGGCACTTGTGGTAAATCACACTAGCACACTAAGGGCCGGTTACTCAATGTCTGGTTAACACTAATCTGCGGTTAAACATCGTTATCGACGTTACCGACACAATGTTATATGTATGGAGTCGAAGACGTCGATAACGATGTTTAACCGCAGATTGGTGTTAACCAGACATTGAGTAACCGGCCCTAATACTTTAATACGCAGAGCTTGACTACAGTAGGTCTTTACGCGTCGAACGCTCGGGTTGAACTGATGTAAAAATATATTTATTAATGTTAATTACAAGTTTTATTCATAAAATTGATTATTAAGTATGTATATTATGCAGTTTGAAAATAAATTTTGCAAAATAAAAATCAAAACATTTTTGGGATTTTTTATTTAAAGTTTCTAAGATTATTTTGAATTCGCTGTGAAGAAAATGCAACCCTGAGCCGGCTGAAGGGGGCAATGCTAGACGAGTGCAGCTATATGTTTTCCTTACGAAGTATCTGAATGAGTGCGACAGTGATGCAAGGCTCACACGTACAGGAGGAAAGTGGTGACAATCTGCACACCGCCTATACAAATATCACCAGTTTTGTCACCAGTTTTGAAGTGACCGAAACCCGCGGTTTCATCACTTTTGGCTGGCAGGGTATGAGTAAAATAATTAAAATCAGCATATAATGATTATTTTATGATATTTATTTTTTTCGCTTAAAAATAATAATTACTATTGAGTTTCATTTTTTCGCTCAATGGAAATAATTGTCACTTGATTTTTTTTTTCGACCACAAACAATCAGCATAATTCTGAATACTCCCAGGGAGTTTGTCCTCCGGGAATTGTTTCTCCCGAGAAAGAAATTCGCCAATAATTAATTCCCAGGAAGTAGCAGTTTCCCCGAAAATTTGTAAGGAGAAAAATCAAACTTCGCAAGAGCTGATACTTTTTTGACAGGTCAACTCCGCCATTTAATATAAAAAATTCGCAGGGAATTTTTATTCATGACAAAAGAAAAGGGAAAAGAGAAAACACCCAGGGAGTTCCTGTTCAGGATCGGCCTGAATGACTATTTTATGGTTTTAATTTTTTCGCTCAAGCTGAAATTAGTCAAGAACGCAGAACGTATACTTAAACGCAGTCTGTATACGCAGAATTTTGTCGATTACTGGAGCCCTCAGTGTTGCTTACTATAGTGTTGCCACTCATCAATGCCTTTTCATAAACTTACCTTTTCAACTACAATTTTTCGTGCTATAATAGATCGTAGCTAAATATAAACTACTTAGTTTTCAACAAAAAACTTTATTCAATAGTAAATTTCAAATATTTTAAACGTATTTTGAATAGGAAATTATACCTTTTTTACCATTTGCGAAACTGACGAAGTGGCAACCATCTATAGAAGGAAGAAATCAGCTGACACGGAAAAATCGAAATTCCGCAGATTTCTGCGCTACGGGCTACAACTACAGAAAAATTCTGCGGTGTTGAGTTTTCATTTACATGGCGCTCTGTTAAGACAGATCGTGTCAGCTGACTCGGGTTTACGTACCGGTAGGTTTACGTTCTTGACTAATTTCAGCTTCAGAGATAATCATTATTTTTGAGTTTCGGAATTAGTGTCGATTTTAGGTGTCACAGAAACCAATAATATCGATTTTGGTATCGGAAACAAACCAAGCAGCTAACGGCTCTTGGATTTCATTTGTTTATTAGTTTTTCTTACTTCCAGTTGGACATTTGATAAAAATGTGATTAAATTGTTCATTTTATAAAAATAATTGTTAATGTATTCATATTTTTATTCGTCACTTTTTATGCTTTCCAAAAATGTCTGGCGCTACTAAAGTTCCATACGAATGAGTCATGGCTAGAGCCGGGATAGAGTGCATCGACCGCTCGAATTTTCATGTGACCATCACAAATCCAAATAAAAATGTACATGCACATATATAAATCAAGGCAATGTACGAGTAAAAAGAAGATTCATGATTACTTACAATCATTGCATTCATACTAAAATATTTTCGATTATAAAATAAATGTTCGTCAATACTGGGCTTAATGATTTTTATGTGTGTCTCGTCGAATTATTGAGGGAATTTTGTACTTTAAGTAAAAATAGTCTCTTGATCTGCGTTTTTCGATGCAGTTCATTTCTAGTTTCACCCACTGAGGGCAAATGAACCGCTCCATAACCTTAAGCACATCATCTAAAATCGTTGACACCGCGCTTCTAGCTACACTTATGCTAGAATCCTTCCCGACTGATCTTTGATAGGATCCTTCTGTGTGGTAGAATTTGGAAAAAAATGTGGTAAATTTAGAAAAAATGTGGTAGATCTCAGGTTTCGGATCAAACTGTTTACAATAATTCAAAAAAAAAAAAAAATCTCCATGGTTTCACCTAAACTGGCATTTTTTTGATTCGAATCTCTAGAAACAACTTTTAACTTGGGTTTTGCCGGGTTTGACTATCCTCAAGTAAAAGTAAACAACGCCTTAAAAACTTCAGATGCACTGTAATGTGCTAATACTTTCACAAAAATCGCAGATTTTTACATTTCCTTTATTAGTTCTTCTTATAAATCATATATTTTGCAATTTAACACAATAAAATCACGTTTCCCGACGAAAAACTTAATATTAAGAAACTGAGAAAATTCGCTGTTTGACAGTTTTTTTTCTCCTCCCATTTGGGTTTGTTTACTTCTACTTGAGCAATGTCGTCACCACCGGGAATGCGAAATCTTGTATACTATCATTCTTGTTATTAGGTACACGAATTCCGATACGATACACCATATCGATATTTTTGCCATTCGATACCGATACTTTTTACTCGAAAGTTTTTAAACGATATTTTTTGGAATCGAGTACCAGAACATTTGTATCGTATCGAATCGTAAATGTACATTAGAAAGTTAATGATACATTTGTATGACAAAATATTAGAAAACAAAGTGAAAACGTCAAAATTTAAAACTCTGGGAATTGGGCAATAGCATTTGTATAAAACTTTTTGTAGTAATATTTGAAATATTTAAAATTAGTTTTCTAAATTCCAAAATGTAAAAATCTCCTACTTTTTTATCAGCCGAAGTATCTGACGTGACGCTACCTTACTAAAATTTCTATTGAAAGTTTTGTTGTTAACATTGTTTTTAAACAAATTTTTAACACAAATAAAACATGAATTTTAGCCTTAGCTAGGGTTCCATTTCTGGCAAATCTATGTGGTACCATAACCTTACTTACTTTGGAATTTCTATGTAAAGAAATATGGATATATTTTGCTCTTTAAAGCACAGAAATGTGTACTATCTTAGGGCCGGTTACTAAATGTCTGGTTAACACTAATCACCGTTTAAACATCATTATCGACGTGTTCGGCTCGATGCATATAACATGGAGTCGGTAACGTCGATAACGATGTTTTACCGGAGATTTGTGTTAACCAGACATTGAGTAACAAATGTAATTTTTCCAAAATATCGATACATTTTCACACTCATTTTGCTATATCGTGAACTAAGTCGAAACTACTTAGGGCCTGTGCCAAATGATAGAAAAGAGAAAATTTTTACGGATCAAAGTGAAAATCTGACATTTCTCGTGGTGAATAAGAACGTCAGAATTTCACCTAGCTCATGGGGCTAGGTAAAATTTTGACAGCTTATAACCATGTATACACATAATATTGCTTGGCGGTAATAAGGAGTGCACATGAAAATGAAAGCAGAAACAGCATAAAAAAGCTTACGTTACTTGCTAATAAAAAAAAAATATATATTTTTAATATTTTTATTGAGCTTTGTACCACGATTGTTTATTAGGAAAAATTGAAAAAGCAACAAAGTCTAAGCGGTAGAAGTTATAGCACTATTTCGGAGATCACCACATCTCCTCATCAGACTTCTTTTTNACCACGGAGAAAAAAGTTACCAATTGGCACAGGCCCTTAGTAGAAGACTGAAATGCGACTATGAATAGAGGTAAATTTTAAGTTAGTACTTAAATTTAAGTTGCAACTTTGTTAGTTTCGACTTAGTTGCTGGACTATGAATACGCGCCATAGTGTTTAGTGTTGGACAATTTTTGCTCTTAAAATTAAACAAATAAAGAAAATCATGTGGAGTTTAATTATAACTACTCAAAAATGCGAATTTGTGGTAGATTTCAGACCTTGTGTGGTAGATGTTGTGGATGCTCCAAAAAGTTGTGCAAAACCCACAATGTGGTAGAAATCCGATCACTGTCCTTCAGCTAAAAATCGCAACGGAGCTGCTAACTGCAGCACTGGTGGAGCTTTCAAACGTGTCAAGTGCCCTTCAATGGCGTCAAGTACCATTCGGAAAGCCTCTTTGTTATGGCGATAATATGCTATGAAACTGCAAATACGCTATTAAAAAACACCCTACTTACGCTGTCTCGGGCAGCACAAGTGGATCACCGCAATCTCTCAAAATTTTTCTCTTAACCTTCTCGGAACTTTCTTCTTCCGATAACAGAAATGCGACAACTGCGGACGTCATTTTGCGCTCACTTATTTTTATTTAAATTAATGAAAACAATTCAATTTTCAAAAATTGTGTCAAAAAAATGTACATTCAAATTGCCGCCATACACACAAATGTGCAAAACAGCTGATTCGAACATCGGTTTTGTTTATGTTCGAAAAGAGCAAAACCATTCCGGTTTCATGACACCAAATGAAACCAGTATTGGTTTGTAATTCCGACAAAAAGCAAAACGGACTTCGGATTTCATGACAGCCCTGATTATTTTAAATCTTTATTAATTAAACTCGAAGAAAAATTTTAAATTCAAGTAGTACGTACGAACACAAATACGTCATTTTACGACGATTACAACTTGTTGATTTTTTTAGTTAAAATTTAAAGCATAATGATTATTTATCCCTGGGAAGGGTAAAGGAATGGTAAATAAATACAGGGGAATACATCCATATGTAAGTATTTTTCTAATTGAAATACACAGAGTTGGAATTGAAAAGTATAAAATTTTCCTTTTAATGTGACTACAAATTTTGAAACATCGTATACCATCGATATATCGGTGTTTTTTTGGCGATGTATTTTAGCATCGATGTTCATTTTTCCGATGCATCGCAACATCGATGTATTGATGTTACTCTCCAAAATTTCCATCCTGACTTGAAAGTAGGATGGAATCAAGGCGAATTTATACAAGATGGTGTTGATGGCGAATTTAGATTTTCGCC